AATAAAAATTACAAAAACAAGAGATATTATATTTTTATAAATTTCAGTAGAGAGAAAATATAAAATATTTCAAAACAGAGATTAGGTTAAAGTTACCTATTATGATCAGAATAGTTTCTCAATTAGAGCGATGTACTAAAACAACCTTAAATAAAGATTCTCTCTCTCTCTCTCTCTCTCTCTCTCTCTCTCTCTCTCTCTCTCTCTCGGGGAAAAAAAGTAAATGAGGGAGGGGGTGGCTTGGTGAATGTTTTAACATAATGATAATTGATATTTTATTACAAAAATAATTTTTCTGATCCAGTCCCACTACCCTCAATTATTTTCCAATAAATCTGAGAGCTTGGCGACGTAGCGCCCACAAGTCCAGCACCGCATCACTACCACATGCAAATTTATTGGAATTTCAGGAAATAAATTTTACCGGCGGTTTCTCGGTGGTTTTTACGCCGCCGGTATAATTGTCGTAGGAAACTTTTACCGGCGGCTTAGTACCGGCGGTTTTCCGGCGGCGTATACCGCCGGTGACTACCGGATTTGTAACCGGCGGTTTTCCGGCCGTTGAGCCACCGGTTATATTACCGACGGCTAACCGGCAGTCACTTTACCGACGGTATGCCGGCGGTTAAAGAGGCCGTCGTGTGTTCGCTTAACCGCCGGCTAGCGTCGGTACACCGCCGGTTATTTTACCAACGGCGCCCGGCGGTCATGACCGCCGGTAATTTCATCACTTATCAACGGCAGTATATGCCGCCGGTACACCGCCGATAAGATTGAAGACCGGCGGTTACAAGACCGTCGCTAATACCGGCGGTCCAACCCGGGTACGCCGCCGGTACGAGCCGGCGGCCACACCGCCGGATTAACCGCCAAATCTTCCCGGGACGATCAGACCAAAAATATCGTCCTGGACGGTTCCCAGAACTATGTTCAGGACGGTATTTTCTACAGTGCCGATCGGCCTGGACGATCTCAAATCGTCCTGGACGATCCTGAGAGGAAAATCCAAATCAGAGAGGAACAGTAAAGAAACGAGGTCTCACAAAATCCCTTTGGGTCCTTCCAGAACAAATCACATGCACATTGAGATATTCAAAACACATACATAATATGTTCAGAATAAATAACATGCATATGAATTCATGCAACTCATCTGAATCTTGTAGTGTCTTGATTAATTTGATCTAGTTCAATACATTTACAAATTATACAAGTGGCATTGTTTTTATCTAAGATGATCAAATTTCTTTTTCTTCTTATTCAACAAAATATATAGTAAACTATTAAATTGTTCTCAATTTTTATAAAATAACACTTTCATATGTGTGAGTGTTATTATCATCCTCAACAATTTACAACAAGTCTTCCTTTAGCCTTTGATTTGACAAACTATGTAGGCGAACTTCTTACAACACTTTCATGTGTCATAGTTATGGAAATGGATAAATATTCAATGCATTGAATTCATACAAATAATTTTAAAAATGTTCACAATATCTATATTCATGTCTAAAAAAATATCTTTTGTTTATGTCACAAAATAATTCAAATAATATTTGAGTTCTCATAATGAACCCCACATTATGAGTGTCATGCCAATAGAGGCCACCAACACCCTAAAAATTGATTGCATATGAGGAGTCTCCTGCGATGGAATAATTATTAGGTCCGGATATCGAACGTAGCTCTATATTCGGACGTCAATAACATGTCGCCACGTGCTCTTACTCTTTACCGCGCGGCCTGACGACCTGGACCCGGTATTGCTATGTATTGGCTGAATTGTGCAGACCGGGGTATTGCTCGATATTGCTCAGCAATAAGCAATATCGAGAAATACCAATATGTCAAGACCAATACCTAGCAATACTGAGAAATACCCCGATATTACTAGATATTGCTCGGTATTGCTAGGTATTGCTCTTGACAGATTGGTATTTCTCGTTATTGCCGAGCAATACTGAGCAATATCTAGCAATACCCGAACATAACAATACCGGGTTCCGGCCTGGGTCGGGTCGTCAGGCCGCGCGGTAAGGAGTAAGAGCACGTGACGACATGTTATTGACATCCGGATGTAGAGCTACGTCAGGTGTCCGGACCTAATTATTCCCTGCGATGGGAAGAGTTGAGGTATTTATTTTTTTAAAACCCCTTACAAGTGGCAAACATCCACACAACATAAACGTATATGATCTTCTAGGAAGTTCTAGCTTAGAATTGGAGAAATTATTTTGTATGGTTATCGAACAATATTTAGAGGGGAATCAGGAACATCATGTTATTTTTTATGTATCGGTGCTGTGTACTAAGTGACATGACGCATTCTGATTCGTCTCTGATAAATTCGCTGATCACACATAATAATTTTTTCTAAAATTGAGTGGTGCAAACACCTATAAAATAATCATAAAAAATTAAGAATGACACAAGTTGAAATAAAATATTTTTTTCTTGATTTATCATACGGAAGCACACAAGTAGACTAGTTATACGGTGAAGACTGAAGACACGTATTTTTTGATGTATTTTTTTTTTTGGGAATTATATATTTGGATATTGAAGAACCCATGACCTAGAAAGTCCACCGGCGTCTCCCGGTACATAACCATCAAGCTATAGTACAGACTGTGTCATATAACCGGAAACAGCGGGTGAATCGCCTTGAAGCCTTCACAGTTCCGACCATACAAATTTGCGTCATGAGTCCATTTCTCTGCTACTACTACCCCGTCGCAGCCCACGGTTCTCTGCCTCTTCCCATCTCATCTAGGATAGCGGAGTTCTGCACAAAGCGAGCTCGGCTTCTATTGGTTTGGTCTTCTTCGTCGAATCGCCATTTCCAGATCAATCAGGTTTTGACTTCCCGCTTACAGACTGGCCTTTCTGCATCTTTTCCTTGATTTAAGACGGGAACTTGGTTTTCCCTTGTTCAAATCACCATCTCCCGATCAATCTAAGGTTCTAAATTCTCCCCCACAGATCCGGCTTCCTGCTTCTTTTACTTCATTTAAGCTTTAATCGTTAGTCTACAACCAGTTCACTGTTAGATCTTAATCTAGCACTGGTTAAGCTTCATCTAGGCATTTGGGCTTTGCGGTTCGATGTCTAAAGCAGAGGGTCGTGTAAGAATGCTTGGCTTTTTATCGAAGTGCAAAGTTGGGGTTCTGGTGGTTATCTTCCTTCTGGTCGGATTCACTGCACTGTATGAGTTGCTGAAGCCGGTCCCTAATGGCTGCATCATGACCTACATGTATCCGACTTACATACCGATCTCGACGCCGGCCAATGAATCTTCGGACAAGTACGGGCTCTTCCTGTATCATGAAGGGTGGAAGAAAATAGACTTTATCGAGCATATTAAGAAGCTTGATGGAACCCCGGTTCTGTTCATTCCTGGAAATGGTGGTAGCTACAAGCAGGCAAGGCCATTGCTTTCATTTCGTATTTAACTCATTCTCTTCCTTATATGTCTAAATATGAACTTTATTATTTCTTTGATGCTTTCTTGGGTGGAATGGCTCAGTTGATTTATAGTGTTGGGTAATACAATGGGTGAGGTAGGCAGCATATGAGGAAGAAAGAAAACAGAATACAGTAGGATCTCAGCGGTTTAGGGATTGTGTTGAGTGTTGTACTGTGGCATTGTAGTGAGGGGATTGGTCTTTAGAGGAGTGTTTGCCCCATATGGAGGGTGGAAAGCGAGATGGATACGGAGAATCTCAAAACCGGGATTGCTACTTAATCACTTGTGCTCACACAGTTTAAACCTGTTCAATATAGTTGGAACCCTGCTTTAGAAATAAGAGGAAATCTCATTACAACAAACTCAATATAGTTGGAACCCTGCTTTAGAAATAAGAAGAAACCTCATTGCAACAATTTCTTAGCCCGTAAAAAAGATTTCATTCATCAAAATTAAAGTTCCAAATTACATTAGGCTAGTTATAATAATAGCTTTATGAAAAAGCAGTCCCTAATGGCATGAGAAGGCTATTTATAATAAAAACGTAATACAAAAGTGCCTTTTAAGATACATGTAATAAAACATTCAATAGATGTAAAAATATATTAGCTAAATTAAAATTGCAATAAAAAGACTCATTAAACTACTGAATTGATGTGGAATATCAACTCTCTTTGATTTGGAATTTTTTTAGTTGCCATCCAATGCAGTAAAATTGGACATCATTTCCTATTTCCTTGTTGGCTTGTTCAAGCTGTTGACCTACTAATAGTTTCTGGAAGTGGCTATGGATCTCCATTGATGATGGTGAGCTTGGTTTGGCATGAGATTGGAGGTCATAGGTGAAGGAAGTTGTGGCTCGACGGTTGGAAAGGAAGGATCTTGGGTGGCATTGGCTGGTTGCCTTGAAGAGTGAAAAAGTCTTGTGTAGGCTAGTAGGAGGTCGGAGGGGATCCAAATGTTGAAAGTTGGGAATCTGGGGATTTGATTTAAAAATTGTGAGGGTAGGTTGAGAAGAAGTAAATGATAGAGACAAAGTAGGGATCAACAATATATTTCTTTGCATCATCATATTTATCTATCTATATTGAAGGAGAATTTTTATAAATGAAATAATAAAAAGATCAATAGTTCCCAAGAACATGAAAGAACAAAAAGTTTGTCATACTATAGGGGCAGCTATGGAGTACTTGGGGCTTGTGAGTTAATGGAATGGATGGAGCTTGTTGGAATATAAGGTTTAGTAGACATTATGATGTAATCAAAAACTAGGAAAGACCCCCTAATTTTTTATTACCAAAACAAAACCTTACTAATCTTTAAAAACATGCATGGGATAAGAAAATACAACAAAGAAGAGACAACTTAGAAACTTTAAAACAAACTCTTACATTTCAAAACATATAAAAAGAACACATACAAACATAACGACACACTTACAACCTTCAAGACCAAATTTAAAACAACCTAAAAATGTTTTTCTTTCATTTAGAAGAGGATACAAGTGGAAGGGATACTTGTGGATAGAAGAAGGGATTAGAATCCAAGACGAAGGATAGGAGTAACTCGCAAGTTATCCCAAGATAGAGAAGAAGAAGTTGACAAAGCTCTCAAGCTTTTCCAAAAAAAACCTCTAAGGTTTTTATCCAAAAATTATCATCATCACAACTCTTTTATCATCTCAAATATCTCCTATTTATAGGACCAAAGAGGGTTGCCAAACAGCCCTCTTATCTTCATTAAATCACATTAAAGTATTTCCAAAAATATGTCTAGAAATTAGCCCAGATTTAATCCCAAAATAGCACTTGAAAAGCCACCAAAAAGGGGCAGCATTCACTCCTAAAACAACCACCGAATAGCCACTAAAACATTAATTAAAACCTATTAGATTTAGGGAAATGAAAGACCAACAACCATAACACATCAGACCCCAAATGGCACAGCAAAACAGAGAAGAGGGATTACGGGAACCAAGCAGAAAAGCCACGAAACCAAGCAGAAAAGCCACGGAATCAAGCAGCCAGCCGCGGAACCAAGCAGCCATCCGCGGAACCAAGCAGCCAGCGGCAAAACCAAAGGGGCAAGGCACAAGAAATTCACCAAGCACAGGAAACAAAGGGCCACAACACATAATCAACAAAAGCCCAAGAGAAATCGAGGAGACAAGGAGGAAAATGAGAAGGTAGTATGGGGAAGGGAAAGGGCCAATTCCACATAATAATGAGCTACCATTTTAGTTCAATAAATGAACTAAAAAATAGCTCATAATGAGCTAAATTTCAGCTCAAAGAATTAATGAGCTAGCAAGTCCAAGAGTAGTCAAAATCCAAAATTTAGGATTTGATTTGACACCCTCCCTTGCCTACATCACATTAGGAAGGGGTTGCTCCATTTGTTTGACCAAACTATTGATGTAGGCAAAAGGGCGTCTAAACATCTTGGGTTCTTTTGGTCTTTGGGTTACTGGTTGCCTCTTGGGTTGGGCCATGTCTGCTTTGGTTTTGAGCTAAATTCTTGGGAGCTACTTAGTTGTAGCTCATTATTGCTTGAGCTAAAGTTTAGCATATTAATATGAAAAGGTATTCTTTATGTTAGCTCATTATGTGGAGTTGGTTCCTTGCATTTTCTCCTTCTTTGTGTCTCCTCGGTTTCTTCATGTGCTGTTTCCCGTGGCTGCTTTTTCTCCCTTGCTAGGTGTTGGTTTCGGTCCCCTTTGTGTCCCTTCGATTTCTCCCTTGGCTGCTGTCCAGGTTCCCTATGTTGCCCCTTCGGTTCCTCCCTTGGCTGGCTGTCCCGTTGCTGCTTTTCTCTGGTTTCTGTGTGACTATTCATGTGCTATTTTGGAATAATTTTGGCCTATTTTTGGGCTGTTTGGCTGCTGTTTTTGGACAGCCAGCTGGCCCTCCTTGGTGGCTTTTTGGGGTGCTGTTCCTAACAGTCTTTTGGCCTTCTATATCCCCCATTTTAATGGGTTTAATTAATGATTATAGTGGCTGTTTGGCTGCCCCTTTTATCTTATATATATGTGATGTTTAGAGAGTTTTTTAGTGTGTTATGTGTGCTGAATTTTGGAACTAAACATGCGGGTTTCTATGATAGCTTGCGAGCTATGCCTTTTCTCTCCTTTTTCTTCTAGGAAAGCTTGCGAGCTTGTTCTCCTTCATCTCGGCTTCTTATCTCCTTCTTCTCTCCACAAGTATCGATGCCACTTGTATCCTTCTTCTCAATCCAAGAAAGTAAGTTTAGGTGTTTGTTTTATTTAAAAGTTTGTAAGCATCAAGAGTTGTAAGTGTCTTTCTATTATAAAAGTGAAGTTGTTTTTGGTTTAATTGCTGTATTTTGTCTATTTTGGGGTATTTTATGTAATTTCTTTTTATCCTAGGAAGAGTTTATTTTGCTTGCAAAAATTAGGGGCTTTTCCTAATTTTTTGTTTGCATCAATTTGGTATCAGAGCATGGTTGTCGTATGTGTCATGTATGTGAGTGTCATGTGAATTTTATTTTTGAGTCATGTTTTTTTTGAGTCATAGTCCATGCAATCAGCCTTCGGAAGCCTCATGTCAAGATTTGAAAGAGTCCCAAGGAGAATTTGACCCTGTCAAATTTACAAATGAACCAACTATTCAGGATGTTAAGATTCCAACTGTAGAAGGGGTTCCACCTTAGGGAGATTCAACAGACCCAATTCAAAATGAACTTTTCAAGATAGAAAGATTGATATACTTATGTAACGAGAAATTCGAGAAGAGCAAGCAACGACTTCAAGAACAAATTCTTCATGAAAAAGAATTGATTGAAAGGAAATACAAAGCTAAGATTAAAGAATTGGATTTGGCATATTCTACACAAATGAAAAAGTTAAAAGCAGCCTCATCGGGAGATGAGCTTTTTCAACCGGAGGAGAATTGATGTAGGAAAGGGGGGGGGGGGGGGGGGGGGGGGGAAAGGCATGAGAAACCTCCAAACCATAAAAACCCTGGGTGGCCCCAAGGTTGCCTCTCGGGTTGGGCCTTGGCTGCTTTGGTTTTGAGCTAAATTCTTAGGAGTTACTTAGTTCTAGCTCATTATTGCTTGAGCTTAAGTTTAGCTCATTAATATGAAAAGATATTCTTTATGTTAGCTCATTATGTGGAGTTGGTTCCTTGCCTTTTCCCCTTCTTTGTGTCTCATCGGTTTCTTCCTGTGCTATTTCCCGTGGCTGCGTTTTCTCCCTTGCTGGGTGCTGGTTCCGGTCCCCTTTTAGCCCCTTTGGTTTCTCCCCTGGCTGCTGTCCAGGTTTCCTATGTTGCCCCTTCGGTTCCTCCCTTGGCTGGCTTTCCATGGCTGCTTTTCTCTGGTTTCTGTGTGACTGTTCAGGTGCTGTTTTGGAATAATTCTGGCCTATTTTTGGGCGGTTTGGCTGCTGTTTTTGGACAGCCAGCTAGCTCTCCTTGGTGGCTTTTTGGGGTGCTGTTCCGAACAGTCTTTTGGCCTTCTATATCCCCCATTTTAATGGGTTTAATTAATGATTATATTGGCTGTTTGGCTGCCCCTTTTATCCTTTTTATTGTCCTAGGAAGAGTTTTCTTTTGCTTGCAAAAATTAGGGGCTTTTCCTAATTTTTGCTTGCATCAATTTGGTATTAGAGCAAGGTTAGTATATCCTAGGTTTATGAGTTGTGTTGTCATTTGAGTCTTGGTATCGAGTGAGTTTAAGTTTTGTTGAGTCTTCTTTTCTTTGTTTTCAAAAATCGGAAAAAGATAAAAACATTGATCCAATGGAAGAATGCAAGCTAAAAAATATTGAGGTGCCAATGGACAAATGGATTCCATTAGAAGGAGATTCAACAGATCCTCTTCACAACTAATTATACAGACTAGAGATGAAAGTACACTTGTGCACGGAGCAGTACATGAAAAAGAAGCGACTTCTACAAGATCAATTCAAATAAGAACGAGAAGAAATCCTGAAAAA